AAAAAAAAAAAAGAAAAGAAAACATAATAGAAACAATAACTTTTTGTCAGAAGTCTCTCACACAATTAAAATCCAGAATTTGACCATCAAAATTGGAGTGATTTTTTTTGTATAAGAACCTATTTTTCTTTGCCAGGCTGAATAGGTTCTTCTATTTTTGGGTATTTGAATGCCAAATTTCAGCCTGTAGGTTCTTAAATCACCAGGTTCTTATATGCGGATTTTTAATGTACTTATTGAGCGTGTAATTAGTTCTTTTCACGTGTCGACCCTACGAACGGAACTTTGTTTACATCGGTTTTGTCTGATCTCTTTATTAGCGTAAATTTATCGAAAGTTAAATTTATTAGTCTGGCAAACTTGTAGATAAGATATATTGATAGAATCTGTGCTAATCAAGTGAAGTAAATATGAAAAAGAAATGCATTAAATATTGCACGAGATATATTGCCAGCTGAAGCAAGTTTTATTTACTGATAAAGCTAAGAGCCCAAGAATTTAATTTATATGCAATGTGTAAGTAAACATTACGACTTCTGAATGCTAAATCGGGTAAATTTTCTTAATTTAAGATTACGCTCAGTGATGCCAGCAAGGATTAGTATATTTAAGTTATGACTATTGGCCGCCGGGCTGTGATTTGTCGGATTTGAAGGCTTACTCTTGTTTTACGACGGACATTAGAAAAAATACTTTATCGTGTTGCGTGTCGCTCCTTTGCAATATAACAAGGAGTCGTGACCTTTTTCAACTCTCTAGTCTTGCACTTTAGGTTACTATTTTTGGCGGCAGCTGGAATAGTGACGTCATTCTATTTGTTTACATCTCCAATTTAAAAATTCACCCAATTCGAAAACAGATATCAGGACTAGAAAGAACATAGAAAATTCATTTATAGTGCCAATTTTGAAAGGAAGTTTACGTTGAAAACCTGCTTCAAACGATGTTTTCAAAAGTTTGATTTATCAGTTCGTACTTGCACTCGCAAATAAATGGCTTTCTTAACTTGAACACTGTGTAACAGTTTAATAACACCTAGGATTAAAATAAATAAATATACATTTATATAGCGCCATTTTCCACTAATTGTCCATGGCGCTTTACAATACTTTAAAATTAAAATNGTTTATTCCAGAGCCTTGGTGCCGCCACGGAAAAAGCCCTTTCACCATACGTTTTAAGATTTGCTCTAGGCTCATCAAGCAACCTGTTGTTTGAAGATCAACAGGGAGAATATATCTAATTTTGCAATTTTTTTAAGTCACGGTACTTTAGTATGCCATTGACAGTCTGTTTAAATCACTAGCTTTAGTTTTTTCCGTGACCACCAAGATTTGAAATCGTCAAGGTGGGACAGGGCTAAAATTATTAGCTGAGATGACGAGATTATTTAAGGTCAATATGACTCTTAGCATTACATGCATTCCAGGGCCGTAGCAGCAAAAAAAAATAATGACTGAGGCAATGCCAGTGGTTAAATTATGTCCGTAAGTATTTAGGGTGTTCATGATGACCATAAACAAAAAAGAAACGAAAAAAGAAAAAAAAATGACTGAGGCATTGCAAGTCCCTTGGTGTACCTGTTACTAGCTAAAGCCGTACATTCCATACCGATGTTACGTCCTTTCCGTTGTTTAAAGTACCCTTAGGTACGATATCTTTATTCATTTATTCTATTTGTAGATCACTGATTTATATATACCAGCCATTCAAAATTGAAAACCTGACTCTAAATTACTGGGTTATGCGCAATACGAATCAGGTACGGCGAAAACTAGAACTCGAATTATGCTATAGAGACTTCATGCATGCAAACTGCAAAAATGTTCGCGAGTAGTTCTGTACATATAGCGTATTTTTGAGTGAATTTTAAGTACTTGAACACTACCTTCAATAAGAGCGTGGGATAGCGAGGAGCGTGCGAGACACGCTCGCGGACATCAGCTTTGCTCAATTCGCGCCCCACTCAAAACGTGTTTCAGGGACGAATTTTATAAAAATCCGTATCATGCAACATACATAACGCGCGCATGCAGAGCCATTGCACTGCTCGTTTAATGACCTTTAATGATTCTCTCATTTCTGTAATCGTTCTAGTCTCCAAAATTCCTGACTAATGTTCCCTCGATTAACTATCGGGACGATTTGCGCATTAGACAGGTTAAGCATGACGTTTACGGCAAACGGCAAACGGCAAAAATGAAACTTTTGTCGTCTCTCTTCAGCTGTGTGTACAGTAGAGTGAAATTATTTGTATTTGCAATGAATAGTAGGAGACGTTAGTACATTTTTGTGGGCTTTATTTACGGATTAGAAGAAAAGAACTGAAAATCAGAAGTTGTCTTTGCCGTTTGCCGTCTGCCGTTAACGTCATGCTTAACCTCTCTAATATTCGTAACTATTTCATGCTCCTCCTTCATCGAGGAGATCCGCGCATCTCTTTATAAATCAGTGATTATTAGTTCAAACCAAGAGGGAGCGAAGATTGACAAAACTACCGCTGGATTATTTGATTTTCGTTCGGATCGGAGAGCGCCCTAAAGCTTCCTTTGAACGATTCCTACTTTGTCGTTTTGTCATGCAGCCTATATTTGATCAAGGCGGCCACAAATACTGGTTGACGTAGAGTTATCAAAGAGTTGCTGAAAGGTCACGGAAAGGAGATATATCAATGCAAGACTAATTTTAGTTTTAAAATGATACCGAAAAATACTTAAGATCTAGCATCTTCCACTGAATCCTACTGCCTTATACAAACTCTTCTATAACTAAATATTTTAACAAATCCTCGATCCCTGATTTCTTCCTAGGATGAAAAATCAAACAATTGATATTGATCATAAGAACATTTAACTTTGTTTTCCTATACTGATTTTACTGTAAACCACTCAGCACATTTACTCTTTCACTTTTTTGGAGATGAGTTTTTGACCACTTTCAAGTAAGAGAAAAAAAAAATTAAAAAAGTCTGCGATATCTGTTCCAAAAACATGTGCTCGCGCCTGTCAACAAAAGGTTCTCCAAGACAGTTCTAATAATTAAAGCCCTTTTCAAACTGAGAGTTTAAAAAACATTTGTATTTATATAATTTGCGAATCGTTTTCGCTTGCATTGTACATCAATCTTGTGGAAAATCATTATCTTTCCTTGAATAGGACTTCTACACAATGGGGTTACTTAGACCTAACTTGGATGCAAGCCAAAGTTACACATTGGACAGTGCAGCAGTGCAGAATGGCATAACATCACTCCGTTTCCGCCGTGCCAGAGACACAAATGACATGCGGGACATTCAGTTTAACGTAGGTAGCTTTTCACGGTAGTGGGTTTTGTCAGGTGTTAACGAAAAAGAGAATGTTGTTTTCTGAAGGGCTGCGTGAACGAAGCCAACCTCCTTCCCAGGACTTCTCAAGTAAAATTTGTCAGGGAAAAGGGAAAGGCTCTGGGAACGAGGCTGCTGGGAAGCGAGAAGTAGAGTTCTGTGATGATAGAAAAGTCTGAGGCAGAGTGCGAGTTTCCCAACGCTAAAGGTTTATTCGGGAAATACGTTATCAAAAACTTAGACGTCAAGTTTTCAAGTAACAACTATTATAATCCATCAAATATTTTCGCTCGCGTGCGATTGGTCTAAACGTGTCATGTGACCGAATATTCTCCAGCTAAAACTGGGGAATATCCGAGAATATTCACCAATTTTCAAAACTGCGTGTGTTGCGAAAAATATTTGAAGGATAATAAACACAATAGCCTCCATTTGGCGCAAAAATATGCACGGATATTTGTTCTTGGACATTATCTGTTCCTTGAAGCTCACAGTTTTCCTCGAGCTACGCTCTCGGAAAGCTGCTCGCTTCTCGGAACAGATAATGTCCGC